AGCTCGTGAATTGGCATTAGACTGTAATATTGTAAGATTTCTTTCACCCTTGGAAAGAAACTTTCTGGATTTTCTGAGTTTACAATCAGTTGTCTTTCCATTAAAGTTCTTAGTTTGGTGTTTTCACTTACTAGAATAGAATATAGCAGGCTAAGTTGTCTCTTATGAAGTTCTGCTTCAATTGGTATTGCGCCTAAAAGCATATATACAGCAGCTGTTGAAGTTCTTATTTGAAGGGATTGGAAGCATCTGATAGTTTTGATGTGGAATTGCCTTAATTCTCCTATTTGTGTCAAATTCAGAGGAAGTATTTCCAGGCCGTATATAGTAGTCTTGGAAGTATGTAAGCTTGATAGATCTTGTAAGCTGTTTTGGGGTTAAGACCTCCTTTTCCATTTAGTCCCACTTGAATTAAAGAATACAGAGTCTTTCTTGCAATACTTATATGTTCTTGTATATTTATTCTTGATTCGTTTTTAGATGCTCGAATGATTCCCAAATGTGTTGCTTGGTTGTCAGTTTGTATTGCTTAATTTCCTAATTTGATAATTTCTGGTTGATATTTCGACTTCGTCCTTTCTGTCTTTATAAGAGTGCTTTTTTGGGGATGGATATTGTACCTGTGTTCACAGGAATAATTATATGCTATATCAAGCATTGCTGGAATCTCTGTATCGTCTGTTGACATCAGTACAATATCATCTGCACATAATGGACTGCCACAATATTCCAGTCCTATTGATAGTCCTAGGGCTCTTTTTTCTAGTTCTATTGGCAAGTCATTTATATACGACTTGTAAAATTGAGTGGATAGGACACCTCCTTGTCTTATTCCCTGTTTTATTGGAAATCTTTTACTGATGTGATTATTCCATTTTACTTCCGTTGACATATTTGAGTACAGATTTTTAATTACTTTCCAAACATCTGCTGGAACTTCATAGTATAATTTTTCTAGTAAGATTATATGATGTACCACATCAAAGGCCTTTTGACTGTCAAGGGTTGCTAGATATAGGTTTTTCTTTTGTTGTTTTGCATGTAGTATGCCTTCAGAAACAATAAGAGCAGCCATGATTGGTGAGAGACCCTTTGTAAACCCAAATTGGAGTTCCGTCTGATTAGCATTCAGGTCAGGCATTTTTTCTAATAATGCATATTAAAAAAAAAAGACAGAGGTGACTGTAATGCCTCTGTAGTTTGTTATTAAGGTTGGATCTTTTTTCTTTTTATGAACTGGAGTAAGAATGCCTGTTTTGAAGATATCAGGTATTGTCCCTGTCAGCATGATGTTAAAAAGATTAGCAATATCTGATAATATTGTATTACCGGCATATTTAAAGTGCTCAGCTGTTAAGGAGTAGCCATCCTCTGTTTTCCCTGTATTCAGTTCATTGATGGCTTTTTTTATCTCTTCTTCTGTAAATTGTGTGATGTCATTTCTATTGATGGTAGATTGATGTACAATTGAGTTGATTAGATTGTATCTTAATTCACATTCCTCCGTATATACTGAGTCAAAATGTTCCTCTGTAGCAGGAGTTGCTAATGTTTCGTAAAATTCTGCAAAGATGTAAGTTTGCTTTTCTTTTTCTACAATATCATCTCCATTTGTATCCTTTATTATCAATGTTGTTGAATTATCAGATTGTGCTCTGTTTTTTCTAATCAACCGGTGGAAAGTTTTCGAGTCAGGATTATTCATCATGTTATTGTAAAATCTTTGGCTATCCAGATGATCTTCTTGGCGGACTTGTTTTCTTACTTCTCTTTTGCAGTTTTTCATTTCCGTGTACACTCTGTTGTCCTGCTATTTAGGTCTTCCATTTTGTTTCCAGCTATAAAAGGCATTCTTACTTTTTGATATGAGCTCTTAAACCTTCTCAGAGGCTTTCCAATTTGGTCCCTTTAAAGAAACTTTTTTTTTCTTGACATTTGTTTTGCTGGCTTTGGATAGAATATCGATGATGTTAAATGCCTGTTCTTCTATGTCTGCTATAGAATCAGGGATGTTACTCTGCTCCTGTAGTGTTTCTATAGCTTCTTGATAAGACCCTATATTGGTGTCTTCCCATTTGAGTATGGTTTTTGGTTTTGACTGTTTTCCTTTTATCTTATCAGACGCTATTGACATATTAGTTTTCGCTCTTATTGGAACATGTGCTGATCCATTTGTATGGTATTGATCTTCTATTGTGGTACTCCTTAATATGTCGGTATCTTTATTCTCCAGGATATAGACTATTTGTGAGCATGATTTACCATTATGGTGGTAAAATGTAGAGTCTTGATTGTTCTCAAATGTATGGTTCAGATGATGTTTCCTGCAGAACTCTTTCAGAAGTTTATCATGGTTGTTATTTATGGTTGATATTAATGAACCATTTAGGTCACCAGTTACAATAATACTATGAGTGTTATCATACTTGTCTATTATTGATGAGATTTTATCTAGATGCTCTCTATATTGAGGTTCAGATCCTGTCATCATTGTTGGCATATAACTGTTGATAATTAATACTTAACGAGTCTCTGCACATATTTCAATTACCACTACTCTTTCCTCTTTTTCAAGTTTTTTTATTTTATGTGAAAGAGTTTTGGGCCAAAGAGTTATAACACCTCCATTTTTCCTCTTCTATTGTGGTTTTCTATATCAATGTTGTTATCATCAAAACAGGAGATATGGTAGTCATGATCGGGAGCAATTTTCTGTAAAATGTTAGTCTCATATCCATGTAGCCAATGTTCTTGAAGACATATTATATTTGAATTGGACTGTAATTCTTTGAGATATGGGGTGTTACCTTTAATCCCTTCAATGAAAAGGAGACAATCTCTAGCATTGTCTGTTGGTTCTTCCTATTTCGATTTCTTCTTGATTGATGTCTGGAGGTATTGGAGTCCCTCTCATCTCTAAAAAAGAACTTGATAGCTGCATTCTATTTTTCTCATTGCTTCCTATAGAAGTCTTTTGTTCTGATATATTGTTTATCTGTTGTTGTGGTATAGTTTGCTTTCTTTCTACGTCTGGAGTGGAGTGGAAAGGTTTGAAATTACTCTGACTCGGACTGTATGGTGGTGGTAAAAAGAACTTTCTGTTAGGTATATTTCTGGAGTCACATGTTGCGGCAGCTCTGTATCTATTTTGGTGTTCCATACTTCGTGTTGGTAGTTGACTAGCTGAATTTACTACCATTTGTTGAAAGTTTGTTGGTTTACATGTACCAAGAGGAATATTGTCCATCTGATGGACGTAGCTTGGTAGTTGACTGTACTGGTGTTGCTCATTATGGACTGGTATATTCTTTTTTAACATGTTTAAGGACTCCTGGCTTGAATTCTGCATCTGATATTGTTGTATGTGTTGCATTTTTGTATCTTGATTCAAATGCTTGTTGGAATGTCCTTGTACATGATGTGGCTGGTGATAATTGTGTTGGTAAGCATTTTTATGTGCTTCAGCCCATCCAGTCGTTTGGTCATGGATATCATTTATGTGTTTCCTATGCACAGTTCTTTTTGTGTGATTGAATTCATCGGTATGTCTGACTTGGTGATCTTGGTGGTGAACGTTCAAGTGACATTCTCTTTTGGCCATTTGGTGTTGATATTCTTGATCATTTCTTTGTCTCGGGAGATAGGGTCTTTTATCTCTGTTGTTTAGATGATCAAGTATACTAGAGTTATAGTCCTTTTCTGATCGTTGTTTATTTGATCCCATATGTTGAGAAAGATGCAATTGTTCAGGTGCATTTCCTGGAAAAGGTAGTTGACTATTTATAATGCCCAATTGACATGTTTTGTTGGAATTATAGTCTGTCTTTGGAATTTGATGATGGTCTTCTTGGTGGAAGCCGTTCATATAGTGTTCTTGTCTAGACAGGTGGCCTGTTTCTTGAAATGTTTTTTGCGCTTCCGTCTGTTGAGTATTCCACATCTGATGCTAATGATCCACTAGGCTGTCTTTCCTAGTATTATGGTTGTTATCATTAATAAAATGTGTTCCACCTTTTCGGGATTGTAGCATCATTTGGGATGTGATTGCATTGTTTATGCACATGAACTGGATCATTTGTTGTTCCACCTGTTTCACATTTCAAGCTGTTGAGTTTGCATTTCTTGTCTTAGTTGTGACTCTATTTCTCTTCTCATTTGTCCTGTATCTGAGTTTTTACATTTAGATGGGTTAGTGTCTTCTGTTGTGTTTCTACCATATTCATGTGGTCCTTTATTCTGTATCCATATCATACAATGTTTTTAACAAAAATAAAACATGTGAGCAAAGGTCCTTAAATCGGATGTTTTAGAAACGTCCTTAAAACTGATGTTTTATAATGCTGTAATACGGAAGATCCGTTTCCCGGACGTGGTCCTATACGTCCATAAAACGTCTGTAATAAATATGTTTTACGGACGTATTGTTCTACGTCCATAACTCGTCCGTAGCTTTTGTACTTGTATACTTATCATTTTTTCGCATAACATTGTTAAAAGAATTGCTTGTTACGCTTGATGACATTTCTACCATTAAATTCATATATGCACAGACCCCTAACCCTCTTCCTCGAATCCGGGGTCCGCCCATGGTGTGATCCTCTATTTGAATGAGTGAACATTCTCAATTTTCTACTTTGAGGTGTTTTGTGTCATGATTGGTGTCTCCAATAAGGCCCAACAATTGGTAAACGATTAACATATAATTTATCACATAAAATTGCATTGTATTCAGGGAAGTCAATTTTGAATAAGCCACAAATCTTGGAGGAAGGTTATATTGGTTTGCATTTTGTTGATGTCCTAGAAAACGTCCTTTAGACAGGTGTATCGATTTGTATTGACAACTTATATTAGAGTTTGAACGCAACGCATATGAAAATTTCCAGAGTAAACTTGCAACCGTGGGTGTGTGTTTAAAACATAAATTCAATCATATTAAAATACTAAGGTTTTAAAAATTCTTGAAACACAAAAACAGTATAATATATGATATATCTTGCCTTTTTGTAAAGTGTCCATGTCAGATCCATTTGTATGCCTGAAATGTAAGACGGATTTATTGCAGCTTCCTTATTACAATAACTTGTACATCATCAATAAAGGCAACAGTAGTATATCGCTATTCGAAATTCATAAATCGATTGAGAAAAAAAAAACAAAAAACAAATCCGGGTTACAAACTAAACTGAGGGAAACACATCAAATATAAGAGGAGAACAACGACACAACAGAAACTCAACACTAAAATGCAACACACACAGAAACGAACTATAATATAACAATGGCCATTTTCCTGACTTGGTACAGGACATTTTAAGTAAAAATGATGGGTTGAATCAAAGGTGTTGTGGAGATTCTATCACATTGATTTTGGGGTATTTATTCATGGTACTAATATTTTCTCGGATCCAGTTTACATAAAAATCCTCGACAAAAAAGTGAGGTTCTGAAGTTGAGGGAAATCAATTTACAAATTATCGACTGATATAATGCTTACTTACGTATGAATAACAGGATTGCAGTTAAAACTTTTCTCTGTTGAATTCAAATACACGCATTCATTATCTGAAAAATATTATACAAAATTAACCTCCTCAGTATTTCAAATACTTTTTAGATTACAGTCCATCTTCACGTGCAAAAGTGTTAAAAAATTTACTATTCTGTCATTCGCGCAAATCGCATAAAAGGAGATATGATCGATGTATTTGTCAATGAGACTCAATCCCTTCTAAACAAGTAACCACAAAATACACTTCAAGGGCAACATGCAGTCTTCAGTAAGACATAATATGTTATGTGTAAAAATCACCAAATGAACCAGCGACTATTTTTCACAAAAAATCTTACGATTTGAATTGATCTTAAGTTATACAGAATTGTGCATGACATATGAGTGTTTTTACTCGTAAGTTATTTTGTAAAAAGAGTCGCAGCTTAATATTCATTATTCCAGAAATGAATTTCGTCAATTAAAGACTCATTGATAGAACTATAAGTAAAACAGGTTGAAACAAAATATAAATAACGAGGTTGGGAAGCGCTGAAATCAGTACATTCAAAACGCTTTGCCTGTTTTGCACAGTATAGGAGCCTGTTATCCTGAAATACAATGTTTTCGTTCAATAACAATATCTTTTGATAAATGGCACATAGTGCAACACCTAAATATGATGTGTCACATTCCATTAAAGATGACTTCTGACTATGATCTTTGTTAATCTCAAATTATTCCTTAGTACACTGCTTGTGTACTTATTTCGGTTTATTTATTTTCAAGAATTTCACGGTAGGTATATTTTCGCGAATGTTTATGGGTTGGTGTGTGGATAATTTGTATGATAAGGAACTTTCCGATTTGAATTTTCCTTGGGGTTTGGTATTTTTGTTGTTTTACTTTTTGAGATATATTACAAAAATATAACTTGGAGTATTTTGTATTGACAGCACATCTCGATCTTTTTCTGTTTTCTCCTCAACATTTCAAATACCTGTTAGATTACAGTCCAACTCCTTGTTCAAATTTGTTAAAAAGTTTACTATTCTGCCCTTTATCCAATACGCATAAAAGGAAATTTGATTGATTTATTCGTCAATGAAACCCAACCCCTACTAAACAGGTAACCACAAAAGACACATTCAGATCAAAATATAGTCTTTAACAATTCATATGTGTAAAAAATCACCAAAGGAGCCAGCAACTATTTTCACAAAAATTCTTACGATTAAAATGAGCGTAAATCATACGGAATTGTTCATGACTTACGAGTGTTTTTCATCAGTACATTCAAAACGCTTTGCCTACTTTGCACAGTTTGGGTGTCTGTTATCCTGAAATGCCATGTTTTCGTACACACAGTTGGCTGTTTTCCGTTTTACGGTCGCGCGGTGTTCTTTTTATATAATTCAGCGAAGCATGATTATAAAAATAAAAAGGTATACATTACATATAGTTGTATAAATGGATATGCATACTTTCATGTGAAAACCTTAACTTTTGTGTTTAATTTAATGTGCAAGTTACAATCCCTATTCCTGATGGACACATTTGTCTGAGAAACTGAAGTATGTCCAGTGTACGATGTTTTATCGATATTTTCAACATCGCAATGTCATCGTGTCATTCTTGTGTTTACATTGTATCGTATCTATACATTGTGTTTACATTGCTAACATAGTAAACATTGCGATGTTGACAATAGCGAGACAACATCGTGTTTATATTGTATATCAAATCTATACATTTGTGTTTACATCTTTCATATCGTAGACATTACGATCTTGACAATAGCGAGACAGCATCGTGCTTATATTGTATATCAAATCTATATATTTGTGTTTACATCGTTCACATCGTAGACATCGGCGTGTTGACAATAGCGAGTCAACATCGTGTTTATATTGTATACCGAGTCTTAACCTTTGTGTTTATATCGTTCACATCTTCAACATCGTGATGATGATAATATCGTGTCAATATCGTGTTCATATTATTAACTGAGTCAATATCTTTGTGTTTACGTCGTTCACATCGTCAACATCGCGATGTTGACAATATCTTGTAAACACCGTGTTTATCTTGTTAATCGAGAATGTGTGTTTACGTCGTTTACATAGTCATCATCGTGATAATGACAATATTGTGTCAACATCGTGTTTATTATGTAAACTGAGTCTTTAGTATTGTTTTTACATCGTTTACTTCGTCAACATCGGAATTAGAAATATTGTGCCAACACTGTGTTAATTAGGTATACCGAGTCTTTACCTTTTTGTTTACACCATTTGCATTGTAAAAACGCTATGTCGACCAATATGGTTCGATATCTTATCTATATTGTATATCGAGACTATATACTAGTATATGTGTTTACATCTTTCATCTCGTCAACACCACAATTTTGACAATATCGTGTCGAAATCGTTTTTATAGTGTAAACTGAGTCTTTAGCCTTGTGTTTACTTCGTTTCCTTTTTCAAAATCGCGATGTTAACAATATCGTTTCAGCATAGTCGTGTAGAGAGTTGTTGTAGATGAAATGTACTTTGCAAACCATGTAGACAAATGGTGTCGACGTGATGTAAATCCATACACAGATGAACAATTAAAAAATGTAACACAGAAGCATATGAACAGACATTCCAATTTGTTGTGAAACATAAATATGCTAAAAAATCTATGTCACTTGGAAAATACAATTTGTTTATGCTGAAGATTTCTGACATGTTTAATATGGATTGACTTGTAAGAAATAGAAGAAAACAATCAAAGTGTTAGTCTCCTAGCTAAGCTTGTGTTAATGCTTATTCGTTCAATAATGATTTAAATCAATAATTATTTAGTTTATTATGTAATACTTGATTGTGTTCACTTGTTTTTTTATCTGTAAAAGTTTTCTGCATAAGAAACTAAAACATTAAAAAAAAAAAAATTAATTTAATAAAAATACTCATATTCATGCAGATGAAATACGTATATATGTTCTTAAGGCATTTTAACCGCTATATTACTGCCAAAAATAATTGATTTTTGTTCACACTTTAAAACATTTGATATAATTGTTTGAAAAGAAAAAAAAATGAAAAATTAACGAGGAAAGTCGCCTTTTATTGGCAATAACGAAGTTAACGATGTAAAAGATGTAAACAGTATATGAGTGTTAGTATATATAAATGATGTTGACACGATATCGTGAACACTGCAATGTAAACGAGGTAAACACGATATTGACAATACATTGTTTACATCGTGATGTCAACAATGTCAACGACGTAAACTGTATATTAGAGTTGTTACAATTTGAACGATGTTTTCCTGACATCGTGTAAATATTGTTAATATCCCGATATCAACACGATATTGTTACTTCATTATAAACTACATTGTAAACATCCCGATGATAACAATGTCTACGATGTAAACAGTATTAGGAAGGTACAATGTAAATGACGTTAACACAATATCATGTAAACATTATAAATACGATATCATTACAACATTTAATGCATCGCGATGTTTACGATGTCAACGATGTAAACAGTATATAAAAGTTCTTACAATTTTAACGATGTTGAGACGATATCGTTACTTTATTGTATATATCGGAACTTAACGATGTCAGCGATGTTAACAGAAAATAAGTGTACTTACAATGTTAACGATGTTGAGACGATATTTTTGTTAACATTTTTAATATCGGTATGTCGACAATATTTGTAATACAATGTGCATTGGATATGGATGGAGAAACTACATCCTAACATGTAACATTAAAAGTATTGTCTCGATCAAGCCAACGTATCAAAAATTTACTGAGAAAAGGGACCAGATTATTTACTGACAAAGAAAATAACATATAATACAATCGAACCATTGTACGTTATTTTTTCTTACAATAAATAATGTGTTCTATATATGTATTTTATGTGGTTAGAATAATCTCATCCCTGAACATAGATAGAAATAAACAAAATAATGTTTTAATGATTGAGAAGATTTAAACCATTATAATCAATTGAGACTTCATATCAAGTTTGTAATCAATCAGCAGTTTATTAGGGTGCACATTTTCTTTTTTCCACTAATACATAAAATAAGGAGATGTAGTGTAAATGCCAAGGAGACAGGTGTTAATATAGCGTGGATTTAAACACTTATATATATTTTTCACTGTACACATAGCAATAAATAGTGTTGAGTATATTTGTCTGTGTGTGTTTGTGTGTTTCCCTCAGATCAAAAAATGAAAACAACATTTTAAATAATGAAAGGTCTTTCCACATCAATTTTCTTCTTCCGGTTTACTCAAAGTTACTAATGGCGTCCAATGATAGGTTTCTGCATACTGATTTCTAAAATATATGTTTTTTATATACTTTTGTCTAAAATAAGGTAATTAATTTACTACTTCCGGTTTTCAAAATGTCACCTTCGGTATTATGTTATAGCTTTATTCACACTGATTCCAAAAATATATGGTTCTGATATATTTTTGCCTGTAAAAAGGGAGATAATTGGCTACTTCCGGTTTAGAAAATGTCACTTCCGGTCTCATATGATAGCTTTATTTACACTGATTCCAAAAATATATGGTCTATATATACTTATGCCTGAAATAAGGGAGATAATTGGCTACTTCCGGTTTATAAAATATCACTTCCGGTCTCAAATGATACATCAATGTATAACTATTCAAAAAATATATGGTTTCTATGTACTTCTACATGAAATAAGTGCAAAAATGACTACTTCCGGTTCACTCAAGGTCACTTTCGGTTGACATTTTTCAAGGTCATATGTCACCCAACATTTTGCAAAAGAACTTATGGCTTTATCATGTACCAATATGAAGTATTATTTACCTTAAAATAAAACATTTCAGGGGCAATAACTCAAATAAGATGTCGCTGGATTGTCTCAGATCAAATGTATCATATCTTCATCACAATAAAACAAACATTTTGCACTTGTTCTTTAATATATAACATTAAAAATATTGGAGAAAATGCAAAAACAAGCAAAAGACAAAATTCAGAACATGACCTTGACCTTTGACCTTGACCTC